AAACACCTCTATGGATCTCAGCACAAGAAGCATTTTATAGAAGAGAAACAACAGGCAAAGAGAAATGGTTAACGTACCAGGAATTATTGGAAAATCACCAAGGGGAATATAAAATTAAATCAAGAGAGCAAGTAATGGCAGAAAGACATAGTTGTCAAAGGAGAACTTTGAAGGTTTCATCAAAGGAAAATCAGACAAGTGCACATGCTTATTCTTTATAGCTTCCAAACCTTTATTGTCCCATCTCTTCCAGGATCAACTGCTGAGGGATCTAACGTATTCTATCTCATAAGCCCTGGAACTAAATATGTTCAGATGTTTGGCAAATCTTGTTACATTGCTGAGAAAATGCGTTGAATGTTTCTTTTTCATTTTGGTTATATGTTTATTTTAGTTGCTCAGGAAATCAGAAATTTGGATGGGATCTCAAAGGCCATCCAGTCCAACCCCACTGCAAGAAGTCTGTTGCCATGTAGCCTCTATCAGAAAAATCTCTGTTGTCTTAACGTCTGTCATTTTCCAAAGCATTCTATTCTTGGGAGTGACTCAGATTGTTCCTGTGACCCAATAGTGCTAAGGTTCAAGATTTATTTTTATTTTATATACTATGTTTTGGTAGCAGCATTTTTGGTTGGAGAGGTGAGACCGAGACTTTCAAGTCTTACTAATGTTGTCCTCACAAAAGCTTTAAATGAGTGGTTTGCTTTGATAAAGATTAATTGCAAGGCCACACACACACCCTACATGCGCACACCTTTCTAAAAGGAAGACAAGAAGCCGGGGGATTCTGAGATAAGATACGGCTTGCTGCGGAGGTCCTGAACTCATGTGCTCCAAAACCTTCTTTTGGAATCAAATACAAAGGAAAGCCCAGCTCTACAATACTGCATTTCATTTTAGTTCAGTGAATACCACTGAATCAGATTTAGTTCTACCATGAGCCCAGATACTTTTTTTTTTTTAAATGGGCCCAAGCATGCCACTCAAAATCCAAATGTGGCACTTTTTTTGGAAAAAGGTATGTATCCCTGCTGTGTATGATTTAGGAGACCAACAGCAAGCCAGGCAGGCTTGGCTCAACTGTGGAATCTGGAATTTGTTTATTTATTTATTTATTTATT